AAAAAAAAAAATACAATAAAAAAAAAAAAAAAAAAAAAAAAAAAAAATCATGCAATACAAAAATTTCAACCACCTTTCCATTGAAGCTTTAATAAAGAGAGAATAAAAGTAACTGAACCTCCAATATCGCGTGAAATTCTTCTTTTGCAACCACCAGCCTATCAGTATCACTTGAATCAACAACATAGATTATGGCTTGAGTATTGGGAAAGTAGCACCTCCAGTATGGTCTGGGTAGCAAAACAATTATTTTGTGAGCTGTTCACATGGATGTAGACATATCAATTAATGATGGTAAAATAATCAAGAGAAAGCCTTGGAGTCCCTGACAAATAGGAGGCAATAGAAAAAAGCACACAAAGTATCTTTTTTCTGGGGAAGTGGTTGAACTATTGTCAAGGAAAGCCAATAGAAAATACGATCCAATATAATTTGACATGCACTAATCCATATTTCCAGTCTTAACAAGATCTAATTTGACTTCAAACAACCTTATTAACCACAGAGGAATCCTTTTTGTAGGCTGGACTGGTGTATTGCTCTTTCTGTGAGCCTATTTTCTCTAGGCGTGTTCCAGTTTGGGGATTTTACTACTAATGTCTGATGGTTCCTAGTCTTTACGAGGCTCGACTTCATCACCGCAGTATTATTTTTCCCTTTTTCTTTCAGCAAACTGGGTATGACGTTTCACTGAATAATAATTAATTTATTTTAAGGATGATACAAAAAAATAAACTTCAAGATAAGAAATAACAAGTAGATCGTGCAATTTGAGAACAGTAGCATACTTTTCAACTTTCTCATAGACACCTAAGTTTCTGTTTTATTACTGCTATATCTTTTTCTAGGTCAACCAGTACAAATGAAATAAGGTCAAATTTGTGTGCATATTTCTTATCCAATGTTATTACATCAATGGACAGAGTCAGATTCCATATGAATTGCAATTTGCAACTCTAGAAACAATTTTTTCTTCTCCATGTTAGGATTATTCAATCTAGAAAAACAATACATGATCCAGATATATAGAGTCACAAATTTATATCATCTCCTAGATTGAAGACCTGAGGAAATATATGAAATGAAAGTCAAAAAGGACCAAATTCCAAGTTAGGATTATTAAGTCTAGAAAAACTATATATAAGCAATAAGCCAAATATTTATTAATATCATGTAATAGTTTGGAAACCTGAGGAAACAAATAAAATAGAAGGCAAAAGAAAGACCAAGGTCAAACAGGCAAAAGAAGTCAAAGATTCTATGATAACCAGACAACTGATACTAGCAAGGAAAATTATTTAGCAACTTTGTAATGTCTCTATCATTACAATGCATTGTTCTAAGAAAAAATTTATGGGAAAAAAAAAACATAATCAATCAGCACGCATGGCATATGATTATTATGAAATGTTATGACAGAGAATGTTGTTGTGCTTAAAAATTCAGTTCAAGAAATGAATTAAGCTAGCAAATAATTTTATATTTGACAGAAGCAAAGAGCCAGAGGTAAGTTACCTAATACTCGTCTGCCCACCTGCCATTAGCACCAAAAAAAAAAAGAAAAATCACGCATATTAGACGAATACTTCAGAATAACTTCTTTTTTCCTCAATGAAAGAAATAGCATGATTAACAAGAATACAATAATGAAAAATCAGAAAATTGCATGTCTACTAGAATAATCATGCCACCAAAGGATAAGTGATCTCATGAGACACAACCTAATCCGAGCTAATAATCAAGATACTTTTTATGATGGAGGAAAGAAGAATGTAAAGCTCTCAAGGAAATACTATTCATGTCAAATCTAAAACTGAACCACCTTGTCAGTACCACAAGAAGAACAAAAATGGTCAAGCCCAATCAAAATGTACACATTTCAGGGGAGCAATTCAATTAAAGATGCTTAGAGAAAAATGACAAGAGTCAAATGTGCTTTCATTCATGGATAAATTTGCATGTCCAAGTAAGTTTCTCAGGGTGTTGGAAATCAAGACTGGCTTAGAGAATCATTGGCACCTTTGATGCCCTTCATTTCACCAACAAATAAGTCAATCCAACTTAACTATGAGATATCAATTAAATAAAAGAATAGTTCATTAGTTGAATGATGATAAAATACCTAGATCCCAAACTTGAAACTTTATGTTGTTATATTGCACTGTTTCCACGTTAAATCCAATTGCTGCAGTCAAAGGGAAAGAAAATGAAATAAATCATCTCACATAACCAGGGACAAGAAAGTAACAAGTTCCTGTATTTCCTTCTGCAAATAAATATTCCATTTACACCCCTCCACCATCTTTCTGGAAAAAAAAGGTGGATGTAAATCATAAAAATACTTCCATTAAATAATAAAAAAAAATTATCAAGTAAACATTTTTCCACTCAAATTAACTCTGCAAGAAAAACATAATAAAAACCACAATCCGCAATTTTATTCTCTCACGTCTATTTAAAAAACCGAATTATAAGTATAATAATAGTAGTATTAACCGTATTTAATTGATATTATATTAATTTAAGGCAATAAAAAGGGGACGACTAACTGGGGATAGTGGAGACTACTTCACCCATCTGAAGCCGATCTGCAAATATTAGAAAAATGAATAAACGGCATTATGATCATCAATTCATAAGAAACCCGGAAAATGTCAGACAAGTATTGCTCTAAAGAGTATGTGGAAAACAGAGAATGCATACAAAGAATTGTGGTTTTTCCGGCATTGTCAAGCCCCAATACTAGGATTCGAGCTTCCTTGTTCCCGAACAGCGACGAAAACAACCGCGTAAACACGATACCCATTTTGTCCCTCTCTTTCTTCCAATTTACAAATCAAAGAAAAATTTGGATCGGATCTAAGCAAATAGCAGTACCCTATTAATCCTTACTGTATATTTCCGGAACGGAAAATGAATACAATTACTTTCACATCAAATAAAAATGAGCTTACTTGAAGTATTGTGATTATGTTACCAAATGAAAAGGGCAGGGTCTGCCTCCGAGGATGGGATGACTTGAGGGTTGATTGGAGAAAATGGGCACTAATGGAGGAAGAAATTTCTATAAAAGAGGAAATTTTGTGAAAATATTTGAAAAATTGGTAATATAACTAGTATGGTTTATCAAAACTTCAGCCTTTTAGTGAATTTTGACAAAAAGTTTACACTTTTTGAGATTTAAAAATATTTAAAAAATTTAATATGGATTTGTATATTCAATTGAAATTTTTATAAACTTTTAGAAAATAGAAATAGACAGTATGAAAGAGAAGAAGAAAAATATGAACTAATATAATTATCAGAAAAAAATAAATTTTAATCATAATTCTAATGTTAGTAGAAGAGAAAAGGAAAGAGAATTATTGAAAAAAATACATATTAATTTCTTTCTTTTCTTTTTCTTTTTTTTTTTTGTGAAAGTTTACCAAAATCTTGTGATCAATGAGAGACAAATTTTGAGATTTTATTTTAGTACTCTCTGCTTAAAAATTAGTATCGTGTAGACTTTTATGAAAATCTCTAAAAGTCATAAAAAATTGAATACCTGAAAATTTATAAAGGTTTCTAAAAAGTTTTAATTGAATACACCGAAACTTTTACAGGCTTTTTAAAAGTTTATAAAAGTCTCAATTGAATATACCAATACTTTTAGATAGAGTTTTCAAAAGTCTACATGGAATATCCCTAAACTTTTTAAATCTCAAAAAGTCATTAAAAGTCTCAATTGAATACACTCTCCTAACTGTCCCGATATATTCAATTAAAACTTTTTAGAAGTCTTTATAAGTTTTCGGGTATTCAATTTTTTATGACTTTTAGAGACTTACAAAAGTCTCCATGGTACTAGCTTTTAAACAGAAAATACTAAAATAAAATCTCAAAATTTGTTTCTCATTAATCACAAGATTTTGAGAGACTTTCACCAAAAAAGAAAAGAAAAGAAATTAATATATATTTTTTTCAATATTTCTCTTTCTTTTTCCCTTCTACGAACATTAGCGTTATGATTAAAATTTATTTTTCTCTATTTCCTATATTAGTTTCTATTTTTCTTCTTCTTTTTCCTATTGTTAATTTCTGTTTTCTGTGAAAGAATTAAATTATATTCTTATAACTTTTTTTTTCATTCATTTTTTCTAAAAAATATCTATTTTAATTAAATTATAATATTTTGTGTAGGCTAATTTATAATTAAATTTAAAAATTTATTTTTTCTATTGATTATATCTATTTCTATTTCTATTTTTCTTTTTCTTATTGTTTCTCTCTATTTTCTATGAAAAAAAAATAAATTGGATTCTTTTTAGTTAAAATTTTCTATTTTTTAGTTAAATTATAAAATTTTATATAAACTAATTTATAATTAAATTTAAATATATTTTTTTTATTTATTCTTTAAACGTATATTATATTAATAATACCGAATATTAAATTTACTTTTTACATTTATAATAATAATAATAATAATAATTATTATTATTATTATTATTTATTTAACTAAGGTTTTAAATTTTTATTCTTTTCAAAATATTTTTTTATTATATGGAGGGAAAAAGAAAGAGAAGAGGAATTGTGAGAAAACCACCTTGTATTTGATAATTTCATAATATTACACTAGATCTACACAAATTTTATCTCAAGCGAAAGTCTTCAAAAGTCTTTTAAATTCCACAAAAGTCTCTAAAAGTTTTAAAATGAAAGCTAAAAGTCTACAAAAGACTTCCACTAATTCCATACAAATCTCTAAAAAGTCCACGAAATCTACATAAGTTATCATTTAAAAAAAGTCCATCATAATCTTCAAAAGTCTCAATTGAATACACCCTCGTAGTATATGATTAAAAAATTGATTAAAACTATGAATACGATTAAATATGCATTAAATATATAATCGAAAATGAGTATGAAGAAAAAATAAAGACAAAACATGGGCTTATAGAATTGTACAAAAGTTATTTATCTCCAACAGTGATAATTGCAGTCATGATTTCAAATTTTTTATTTTGTTGTAAATTTTACTGAAATCCTTTGTTTATATCATCCATAGTTCCAAATCTTTCATTTCGTTGCAGCACAAGGACGATTCCATCCATTTCAGCGTTAGTTGACCAAGAAAGATATTTTTACCAATTTTTTAATATTTTAAAAAGGGCAAAAGAGTAACTTTGTATTTTTCATATTAAATAAAAAAAAAGAAAAATTTAAATTCTTCCCAAACCTTTCAATATAGTAACCCGACGCGTTGTTCTAAAAAGCTTGCATAGGAGATGCCTATGCACGAAGCTTTGGCAAAATACTATGCCTTGACAATGAGCGATTAGCTTCGCTTTATTAAAAAAAAAATTCATTTTTTGAAAATCTATTATTTGACTTTAATTTCAAATTTAAAAATGTTAAAAATGAAAACATTTTAGAAAATTTCAAGTAGGATTGTTTGGTTGAAAAATGAAACTACAAAAAAAAAAGTCTAATTTTTGTATTTCAAAAACTTGAGAATTGATTAATTGATTAATTGTAGAAATTATTAAAGTAAACTTGTTTGATAAGTATTATTTTAACTATAAAATGATTTTTAGAATGATTAAAAATTTTTAAAAAAAGTTTTTTAACGCCAGCCTGCTTGTAGGCTCGTAAAGATTGAAACTTGGCTTCCATGTCTAGCCACACTTTATGTTTTTTTTTAGAATACTAACGACTACGCTAGCCTTCAACTGGTGATGTCGTACAAGTCATCTTGTAATTCGCGATGCCATCAAAAGAGTTAAATCCTTGAATTCATTGTGCAAGAACTATGGAGAAATGTTTGAAGAAAATATTGCTATGAATTGCAATAAAAAAATGTTGAGCCAGTATTAGTACTCTCCATGTTATGATAATGCCTGGCCAGTTTACCATAACCCTCATCGGGTGAATTCATTAAATTTCCCAACACGCATAATTTAGTCTTTTAGGTCTTCTGATAGTTCATGACCACCCCAACTCCCGATGGATGTCGTGAATATTGTCTGCGTGTATGAAAATTATCATTGGGTTTCGAAACTTGTGAATTATATATCTTCCAATATCGCATGATATTATAATTGTTTGTAATCATTTTGACGAAGATATGCTGAGCAAATATGTTTAGTGTATAATGGCGAACTACAAAGAAATTACTTGTTGGTAAACTTTATCGATCGAAAATCCACTTGCGAGTGTCATCCACACGAACAATTGTGTAGGTAGTCTCGTTCGATTTCTTTACTTAGAACTCGAAGTTGTATTTCAATGCAATCATGTGCATAGCTTCCTGAAGATCTTTCTTAGTGTCAAACAATTAGTCATCCTACAAATCTTCATCATTGGAAATCACACGTGAAATACAAGAAGATCTTGATCTAGGTCCAGTCTGTGAGTTCCCACTTTACTCTTGTCTAATCCTGAATAAAGCAATGATAGCCTGAATGGTAAATATAATTTTCTTCTTATTGTCTTGAACTATCTGGAGAGTTTGTGGATAACAATGAGATCTCAGTATGTAGCAAATATCTCTCGAATAACTATGTTATCCTCCGGAATTATCACTGTTGTGTCCTAAAGCAATGATAGCCCGATTGGTAAATAGCTTGATTTTAATTGTGTAGAATCAACCGCCTCACTTGCAAGTCAAAAGTAATATGTATAAATGGGTCAACCTTGAGAATGTTTTGTATCACAATACACAACTATATATGATGCATTCATCGATACATGAGCACAATAACATCTTTGCCATCACTCACGGTTCAATTCTATGTCCATCGATCATGTTTATACTCGGAATCTCACTTAAGCAAGAAACTACGAGGAGTGTTGAATCCATCGATCATGTTCATCCTCAGAAAGTCACTTAAGTAAGAAATTGCGAGAAGTGTTGAATCCATATCTGTATTTCACTATAAAACTAAAAAAAGTTAGATAAGTGTTGCTGCAAAAAGTTAGATGGGCTCCACAAACGGTCTTGTTTAACATAAGTTGACGGTCTGATCACAACTAAAAACTGCGGCTTCAGTGACAAATTTATCGACGGTCCATTTTTGTCACTATTGGCAATGGATTTACCAATTAATTTTTGACAATATAAAAAAATAATTATTTTACATTAAAATGACAAGTTTTATCGATGAAAACAACGTCTACAAGTTGTTAATCATTTTTCCTAGGTGTTTCATAGGTAAATTTTGAATGAAAATAAATAAATAATATAAAATACTTATCGATGGATTTTTCTGTTGGTAAATTTAGAATAAAAAATAAAAATTTACTTAAAATATGTCGACGAATATTTAAATTGGCGATCTGTTGGTAATATTTGACCTGACTTGCCCCGTTCTCTGTGTAACAGTTTTGAGGCCCAAAATTAAAATCTCTATTATAACGAAATTTCTTCCCCAAAAAACTCGATCTCAAACCTAATTTTCTCTAAAATAGAGAATCATACATGTATTTTGTAGTTCTACAAATAATAATTTAAATATTAAGCATTTAATTCGAAAAGCTCGTAGAACAAGTTTGAATCATACTCATAGAATTGAAATCATATTTCTTATAATTTCATATTACATTATATGCATTTTAATATTTTAAATTTACAAGAATGATAAATTAGTTCAAAAATTAAATTTTATTTTTGAAAATCTTAAGCAAATTTGCATCAGATTTAGCTTCATATGATTTTTTCATAAGAAAATAAGGGATGACGTTTTGTTCAAAAGAAATACTTTAGGGAAAAGAAGCGTAAATTAGCAACTGAAATCCAAATGAACGTATCCATAAGAATTCACC